ATGACACCCAGGTGCTGCACATGAGCCTTATTCACTAATTTGTCTGTACTGTACATCTTTCTGCTAATTTTAATGGCTATGTTTGAACAGTGTAGAGGCTATGTGAACAGGAAAGTGACTATACATGAACAACATTGTGATTATACCTGATAAACGTGGTGACTATACTTGAATAACACAGTTTCTGTACATAATCAATACTGTGTTTACATCTGGAACAACATAGCACCTTAAACTGAACAACATAGTGTGGACACTCACCCTCACAGTACAGTTGTTGCTCACGTCGGCTCTTTTACAGCAACAACAATTATACACACGTTAAGAAGAACCTTTCTTTGAGAAAGGTGAGGAAAAATAGGCGAAAGTTGAGATGACTGTTGCAACTTGATTAGTTGGAATGATATATTATGTTGGGTGTTTCTATATACATGTCTCATTTATCTACACTTCTTAATAGAGAAACTAAGTTCGAACAAAATTTAGTTTTTCTTTGTACATAATAATGTTTTTATGTGCGTGTCTCCTGTGCTAAATCGGTGAACCGAATTTATGTCTTGTTTCAGCTTTCGGCAACTTCAATTAGGAATATTTACCTCATCTTCTTTGATCCATTTTCCCAAACCTTAATCAAGTTCAACGAACAATTCCTTTTCATCAAGCAAGCATTCATGTCAGCGATTCATTCCATCTTTTATTGAACATATACTGCCTGGAGTTTTAGGATTCTCTGACCGCGAGTTCTAACCCCCTCGTGGTATAGTTTATATACGCATCTCTTTCTAAAATCATTCTACTGCTTTGTGATCATAATTTCCCAAACACAATAATATCAGAACTTTACCTGATATAGATACCAGACATATTTCACTTATTTCAGCTTCTCTATTGCTCTTCGTTCCTCTGCTATACATGGGGAGCTTTCATTTTGCCATTTAAGAAATGGATCAACTCTTCAAACACTTTTGACTCACATATATCCAGAATCTTAGTCTTAGTCGTTGCGCGATTCGATAAAGGTATCGTGCGTGCCATAACCTCAGTCCATGTGCATCAATGCATGCAACTGGAATTGTTGCAGAGTGCGGCATATGTTGATAATGCAGATAAATATTACCTATGAAGGGGATCAGAAGAGGCATTCACAAATCATACTAAGAAACAAATTTATCCAAATGTCTTCAATAAAATTAATAAATTCGGATTCTACACAGCCAAATTTATTTAAGTGTTTGAAAGCGACAGAAAGAACAGTCTCTTAAAATACAAAAGCACTTAAAGCTTGAATTAGTTCAGAATTGCATTGTAAGTTATAGCTTGGAAGTGTTGAAGTAAATCAGATGCGACACTCAGAAATTATTGCATGAAAAGCAGTATTTAAATTTTTCGAGTTTCCACCCCCATTCAAAAAAAAAATGAGTCCTCTACAAACCAAAATCAATCCAAGACTGACCACCCTTCAGGAAAGTAACATACGTAAGTATTAAAGAAAGTTTTATGTATGCTTAGTGCACATTGAGTATGTATTTTTTTAAGGATGGCCTTAAGGCACATATACTATGTTACAGACATGTGGAAGAATGATACAAATCACACGGATCCAAGTTCCTTTGTCCTATTTAATATCTCACTGTCCTAAACCTGGTAAGCAGGTCCTTTCTCCAGTGTTCTATCACTGTCCTATACCTGGCAAGCAGGTCCTCTCTCCAGTGTTCTATCACTGTCCTAAACCTGGTAAGCAGGTCCTTTCTCCAGTGTTCTATCACTGTCCTTAACCTGGTAAGCAGGTTCTTTCTCCAGTGTTCTATCACTGTCCTTAACCTGGTAAGCAGTTCCTTTCTCCAGTGTTCTATCACTGTCCTATACCTGGTAAGCAGGTCCTTTCTCCAGTGTTCTATCACTGTCCTTTTACCTGGCAAGCAGGTCCTCTCTCCAGTGTTCTATCACTGTCCATACCTGGTAAGGCAGGTCCACTTCTTCCCTCCCAGTGTTCTATCACTGTCCTAAACCTGGTAAGCAGGTCCTTTCTCCAGTGTTCTATCACTGTCCTATACCTGGCAGGCAGGTCCTCTCTCAAGTGCTCTATCACTGTCCTATACCTGGCAAGTCAGGTTCCTGCCTCTACCATGTGTTCTATCACTGTCCTATACCTGGTAAGCAGGTCCTTTCTCCAGTGTCCTATCACTGTCCTTAACCTGATAAGCAGGTCCTTTCTCCAGTGTTCTATCACTGTCCTAAACCTGGTAAGCAGGTCCTTTCTCCAGTGTTCTATCACTGTCCTATACCTGGCAAGCAGGTTCCTCTCTCCAGTGTTCTATCACTGTCCCATACCTGGTAAGCAGGTTATTTCTCCAGTGTCCTATCACTGTCCTATACCTGGCAAGCAGGTCCTCTCTCCAGTGTTCTATCACTGTCCTAAAAACTGGTAAGCAGGTCCTTTCTCCAGTGTTCTATCACTGTCCTATCCTGGCAGGCAGGTCCTCTCTCAAGTGCTCTATCACTGTCCTAAAACCTGGCAAGCAGGTCCTCCCCTCCAGTGTCTATCACTGTCCTATACCTGGCAAGCAGGTCCTCTCTCAGGGTCTATCACTGTCCTATACCTGGAAGCAGGTCCCTTCCCCCAGTGCCTATCACTGTCCTTATACCTGAAAGCAGGTCCTTCTCCAGTGTTCTATCACTGTCCTAAACCTGGCAAGCAGGTCCTCTCTCCAGTGTTCTATCACTGTCCCTATACCTGGCAAAGCAGGTCCTCTCTCCAGTGTTCTATCACTGCCCTATACCTGGCAAGCAGGTCCCTCTCCAGTGTCTCTATCACTGTCCTATACCTGGCAAGCAGGTCCTCTCTCCAGGTTCTATCACTGTCCTATACCTGGAACAGGTCCTTTCTCCAGTGTCTCTATCACTGTCCTATACCTGGCAAGCAGGTCCTCTTTTCCAGTGTTTCTATCACTGTCCTAAACCTGGCAAGCAGGTCCCTTTCTCCGTGCTTCTATCACTGTCCTATACCTGCAAGCAGGTCCTCTCTCCAGTGTCCTAACACTGTCCCTATACCTGGCAAGCACGCTCCTCTCTCCAGTGTTCTATCACTGTCCTATAACCTGGCAAGCAGGTCCTTCTCCATGTTCTATCACTGTCCTATACCTGGCAAGCAGGTCTCTCTCCCGTGCTCTATCACTGTCCTGTACCTGGCAAGCAGGTCCCTCTCTCCAGTGCTCTGTCACTGGTCCTATACCTGGCAAGCAGGTCTTCTCTCCAGTGTTCTATCACTGTCCTATACCTAGGGAAGCAGGTCCTCTCTCCAGTGCCTAAACACTGTCCTATACCTGGCAAGCAGGTCCTCTCTCCAGTGTTCTATCACTGTCCTATACCTGGCAAGCAGGTCCTCTCTACAGTGTTCTATCACTGTCCTATACCTGGCAAGCAGGTCCTCTCTCCAGTGTTCTATCACTGTCCTATACCTGGCAAGCAGGTTCTCTCTCCAGTGTTCTATCACTGTCCTATACCTGACAAGCAGGTCCTCTCTACAGTGTTCTATCACTGTCCTATACCTGGCAAGCAGGTCCTCTCTCCAGTGTTTTATCACTGTCCTATACCTGGCAAGCAGGTCCTCTCTCCAGTGTTCTATCACTGTCCTATACCTGGCAAGCAGGGCCTCTCTCCAGTGCTTTCCTTTATACCTGAAAAGGTCACTCCCATTCATCACTGCCCTAATACCTTGAAGGTTTTTAAGTTTCTTTGTCCATCACTGGGAACACCCTCTAGGACCTGGGCAAACCTGGCAAGCACCTGCTAGTGTTTCAGGTGTCCAACACATGGGAACACCTCTAGGCACACTGGGCCATACATGGGAACACCTCTCCAGTGGTCATCATCATACTGCAAACACCCTCTCCAGGTTCTAACACATGCAAACCTGCAAGCAGGTTTGTCTCTCAGTGCATCACCCTTCTAGACCTGGAAGCAATCCTCTCATCTTTTTAATCACAGTCCTAACCCCAAAAGGTCTCCCCTTTTTTCGTTTAAATGTTCTCTCAGTTTACACTATCCAAATGAAAAGTTTCTCCTGTATATTTCTCCTCAGCTTCTTCCGGGTCAACTTCCTATCCTCAACATGTTCTCTCTCCCGGGTTTATCACGTCACTTTCAAATAGGTCCTCTATGTTTTACTGCCTATACCTCAACATTCTCTTTCCCTTTCAAATCTTAACCTCATTCCTCTCTCTGTTTTTGTCCGTAATAAATGGGAAATTTTGTGTTTATGCCTTATATCAAAGTCTTCTCTCCCGGTACCTTTTCTCCTCCTCTTATTCATACAATACTAAATACATGGAAGTTTTTGCAACAATTATGTCCACAGTGCATCTCATGTTTTTCACTTCTGATCTATCAGGTTCTC